AAAATATAAAGCCCCTTGAGTTGACTGTTGTTGTAATGTGTTGAAATGAATCACCACCTCCTTACCCACCACCTCCTTAATTGAATTGCATTGTTACATGACATGAAGTGTTTGTATTGTAACACTGACTCTGAGCTTTGTAAATCATTGCTAATAATGTCTGTGTATCATATGCCATATATTCCATGTGCCTATATTTTGTCAATACAAACAATTGCAGTAGGAAACATAGTTTTAAAAATATCTATATATAGCAAATATTATCACTCCAACCTTCAGATTGGTTTATTGACCTTAAAGGAGAGGTCAAAGGTCAAATGTGACATACCAGACTTTTAGGAGTCATATTTTTGAAGTTATAAAGCTTTTTATCAATTTTGATGAATAAATCTTTCAGTTGACCTTGAAAACCTTGGTGGATTCAGCTGAAATTTTAATGGATTGTTAACATGACCCCACACTCTACAAAGTTTTATCAGAATTCATCCAAAACTTTTTGAGCCGTTATCTCGTCGGCGGGGTTGATAATGAAAATATAGGATGTGAATTTTCCAGCAAGTCAAATATATAATGTGACAAAAAAAAACCTTCTAATAAGATGTAAGAATAAACCACAGCATGCAACCTAAGCACTGATAAAGAGTGGAGTTTGACGCACAGGAGGGTGTTGCTAAAAGGATGGCAAGGACACCACACAAAAGCCTTGAATTCAAAGCGGCAATGAAGGGTGGAGAGTAATAAAAGAAGTGGGGAGAAAGAACTTGAAGAAAGATGGACTAGAGAGTTTGATCCCCTTCTGAATAAGACACTCCATTCAAGACTTTCTGTTTCACTAACTGCGCACCAGGGGTCAGTATAGCTCAACAATTAATGGGCGTGAACACTATTGTTTAAAAAGACATTATTTTATTGCTTTTTCTTTTTTCTTTTTTGCATTGTACTGCTATTCTGGTCTTATTTTTAGATCAAATAAAAAGACCTTCAGCTACTGCTTTCTGAATTTTAATAGGCTAAATAAAATAAGTAATGCTTTATAATCCGTGATTTTATGGCCTATGAGACAAATACCAGCTGCCACTGGTGCTTAGAAATCACACATTAAAAGCAATGGAGCAGGACAATGGGAATCAGGGCGCTACCAGTTGGGTTAAAAATGCCTCTTTTGTGTCGTGTTATCAACTAGAGCCTAAAAATATCCTTCCCTATTTTCAGCTCCAAAATTTTATTATTGCATTATATTATAATATATAATATTTTACATTATTTGAATTGTAATCTGGTTGTTTTAAGTGGACAGTAGGCCACAGTATATTAAAGGATAATGCTAATAATGTACTGTACAG